GAGTGTAATGCTTGGGTTCGCATTTAAGGGTTAGGAATCTGCCTTAGTGCTTTGAAGTATCTATATACCTCAGAAAAGAGATCTAAGAAAGATATAAAATACATTGAAAGCACTGCTGTAATTAACTAGCCAGAGACATCTACGGGTGAAAACTGTGACCAAGCAGAGAAGAAGGCTGCTGTAATCTAAGAGCTAAAAGCAGAGAACAAGGGCTCGAGGAAAAAATGATAATGACAAAGACACAGTTGAGAAGGGAGCTGTCAAAACTCAACACCACATCGAAAGCAGAGCAAAAAGGTATTAATAATACTGCAGAAAACAGCTAGGAAGAGAGGCTTTACAAAAACTGAGAAAAATGAGGTAGAAAAGGAAGAGTTTAAAAAATCAGAGGAAAAAAAAGAGAGTTTTGAAGGATAGATAAAAGTGGTCCAAGAAATGCACTGCTGTCCTAAAACAGAACAGAAAAAAATCCAAATATACAGTTCCAGAAAACTTACCTGAAATAAGCTAGATTCAAGATCACAGGTTGAAAGAATACACTGTGTATCATGTACAATTTCATAAACATTGATCCGTTATCAAGGCATATCATAGTGAAGTTAATGAACTTCATAAATGAAAAATACTATTGACATCTGGACAAAAAATAAATTTTTCCTTGTAGCAGACAGGATGGCTATATTATACTGTCATAACAAATATCTCCCAAATCTCAGTGGGTTGAAACAATGAGAATTTGTTTTTCATTCTTGCTACACCTCCGATGTGGCAAAGTTGCAGGGGGCTCTGCTCACTGTAGTAACCCAGGCTGACGGTGCAGCCACCATCTGTAACCAGCCAGTTACTGTGCCCCAGAGAAAGAGAGCTCTGGAGAATCTTGCAACACAGCTACGTATTCCAGCGTAGAATTGATACGTGTACGTTTTGCTCACCTGGCCCTCGGCAACCACGAGGAGACTAGGAAGTACAACCTTCATGTAGGGGAAGCTGAGGATCTAGACATATTTTTAAGCAGCATTAATGAACACCACATACCTAAAAGGGAGAAAGTATTACGCTGACCTTAAGATTTTTCCCTATATACATATTCAATGCAAAAGAGAATGGCACATCACCTATAAACCCCTAATGGGAAAAAATATGTTCCTCAAGAATTATATACCTAGGGGATAAAATCAATTGGAACATGATTCCAGATTCGTCTTAGAAAGCTGGAACTACCACTGTCCCGCCATTTCAACACCAAGACAATGAACACTGCAAATTCCCAACTTAAGTTGACCCCACCAGACAGACAGCTGAGGTCACAGGGTAGCCAACTAACTGAAATTCTAATGAAAAGACAGTGTCCAAGGAGCGACACGAGCACTCATGCAGGGCAGGTGCAGTCAGACACCTGCTCCGGTGGAGAAAGTGGACAATACGCAAGATTATCCAGGTAACTGGGCAGAGAGAGGGAAGCAATGAGGAAGAATGAGATGGAAATACTGGGAATAAAACACAGCCACAGCCATGAAAGCCTTTGACAGGGTCATCGGTAGGCCTGACCCAGCTGAGGACTAAACGACCAAGTGGTGTTTATCTTGGGAATGTAGGGCTGGCTCACCAGTTAAAGTCAATCAAAGCTATTCACCACATTAGCAGAATGAAGAAGAGGAAGTATGGGAACATCTAAGCAGATGCAGAAGAAACACTTTGGCAAAATTCATCAGCCATTCATGGTAAAAATTCTCAGCAAACTAGGAATAGGGGGAACTTCTACGACCCGACAATGAACATCTACAGCAATCTTAGAGCTAACATTATCTTCAATCCCTAAAATCAGGAACAAGGCAAGGATATCTGTTTCACCACTTCTATCTGACACTGTACCGGAGGTTCTAGCCAGTGCAACAAGGCAGGGGAAATAAATAAAAGGCATCCAGATTGGAATGTGTGGTGGTTAATTTTAGGTGCCAACTTAACTGGATCAAGGGTTACCTACGGAACTGGCAAAGCATTATCTTTGGATGTATCTGTGAGGCTGTTTCTAGAGGAGACCGATGTGTGAATCAGTAAACTGAGTGGGGAAGATCTGCCCTCAATGGGGGTGGGCACCATTTTATCAGCTGGGGGCCTGGAAAGAACAAAAAAGCAGACGAAAGGTGAATTCTTTCTCTCTCTCTCCTGGAACTGAGACACTCTTTTTCTCCTACCCTTGGGCATCAGAACTCCAGGCTTTCTGGCCTTTGGACTCTAGGACTTATACCACACCCCTGGCCCCCATGCCTGGTTTTCAGGCCCTTGGCCTTGGACTGAGAGTTACACCATTGGCTTCCTGGTGCTGAGGCTTTCAAACTTGGACTGAGCCGTGCTACCGACATTCCAGGGTCTCCAGCTTGCCAGTGGCCCATCATGGGAATTCTCAGTCTCCATAATCATGTGAGCCAATTCTCCTAATAAATCCCCTCTCATATATCTATATCTCTACATATATCCTATTGGTTCTGTTTCTTTACAGAACCCTGACTAATACAGAATGGAAGATGGAAAATTGTCTCTCTGCATATCACATAATTGTCTACATAAGGAAATCCAAAGAACTACAAATGAGCTACTAGAATTAATAAGTGAGTTAAGCAAGATCACAGGACACAAGATCAGTAATAAAAATCAAATTTCTACATACTAGCAATGAATAAGAGACAATGTAAAAGTACCATTAAGATAGCACCAATCAATGTGAAACACTTTAAGCATAAATATTATAAAATATGTTAAGATATATATACTGAAAACTAAACAAGACAGATGAAAAAAAAGAAATACTGATGAAATAAAGTGAGACTTAAATAAATGGAAAGCTATACCGTAAATATGACAGTTCTCTTCAGAGTCATGTATGGATTCCACGCAATCTCAATCAAAATCCCAGCAGGATTTCAGTGGAAATTGACAAGCTGATTGTAAAAGTCACATGGAAATGCAAAGGGACTAGGATAGCCAAAATAATTTTGGAAAAAAACAAAGTTGGACAACAAGATGCTCGCTTCCAATAGTCCCCTGTCCTCCTGATCTCAGATGAAACTCAGTCCCCCCAAGGCCTTTGCTCCTGGCACAGGCCCTCAGTTGGGGGATGGGGCAGGCTGCCTCTTCTCCTAACACCTAAGCCACTGCTGCTACTTCTGGACCACTGGCTTTCACCTCAATCATAAATTCTGCCTTCTTGGAGCCTCCTGCCACCAGCTCTGGCAGTCCCAACGTCTAATTGTTAAGAAGTTTGGTATAGTCTTGTCTTCTGCCTCTAACTCTCCAGTGTCACGGGCAATCTGAATAACCATGCCGATGAGCCATTCCACTCCCAGCCTTTGCTTGAACTTCTTGACTTTAGTACTCGACACTCTATTTCACACTGGGCACCCCATAGGACGGTGTTTGCTCATCGTGATACTAGAACAGTCAATACAGGTGAGGCTGCAAGGTTAGCAGCTCACCCAAGGCCTGAGTCTGCATTCTCAGAGATAGTGTTGTTTTTCCAAAACCAGCAAGACCTTGCAAGTCACAGTCACCTCCTCAGGGGCTAGAGAGTCACAAACATGGGATCCTGGGTCCCACTGAGCAAAGGTGTCAAGGAGAACTCCAAGGCCTTAGTGAAGCAGGCCAAATGCCCCAACCTACCAACAGGGAGTGGGAGGCAACTTACTGGCCTCACTGCGTCCACTCAAGTGGCTTCTGAAGCTGAAAGATTCTCCTGGGGATTTGTCAGCTCTCTCAGGGAGTGCAGGATTGCACTGTAATTATAATTAACCTATTGTCTTGTTACATTTTTTAAATATGGAAAGAAAACAAGCCCAGATTGAAGAGGTGATTTAGGAGTTGTCAGAATGAGATCTCAGAGTCAGCAATGGCTGCCCATGTCCCCTCCCAGGAGGGCTGTGAAAGGCCATGGCAGACCTTAGGCAATGACCTTGAGCAGTCCCCAGACATAGTGACGTAGTCATATGTAGTGTGGGCCAGCAAGAAATATCCAGTAGCATGACTGGATGGGCCTTGCAGTGTTGCAGGGATTTGTCACTGCTGGATTTGTCACTCCGGTGGGCTGCTGGGATCATTGAACTTGGCTCATTTTTCCATGCAAGCTGGGGAGCCAGGCCCAGTCCTACCATGTAGACTAGGTGCATTCTCTCTCTCCATACATCTCTGCTTGTCTGCCAGCGGGTGACCGCTCATGGATGACTAATCATAGGTACTCGATTCCAGAGGGCAGTATTTCCCTCCTTTCTCCCCAGATTCAAGGTGGCTCTCTTTGCAGCCTCCAGTTCCCCCCATACTATATTAACCAGACACATGCTAGAGCTCCCTGCATAGTACAAATAAAATTTTACCACCAACTAAGAGTTCCTTGGACCATGATGCATCTTTTCAAAAAGTTCTGGCACAGTTTCATTCAAAGGAAAGAGAAGAATTGGGTTCATTGTTCGTATGTATTTTTAAGCAGTCAATTTTGGTTTTCAGAATTAAATAGTTGTAGGAAGAAAAAAAAAGGGAATAATATAACTGATTTTCCCATGTCACTTTTTTAAAGATCAGATGCTCTACATGATAATATACTGCCATGGAAGACTGTAAGATATTTTTATCCAAATATCTTTTAAAAAAGTAAAATAAATACTCATCTGTTCCCTGATGGTATAATAGCCAAAAATGTCAGAAAAGCAATAGAAAGCATCACATCATCATTTGTAAAGACCTCTTCCAACCGTTCATTTCCTCCTTTGCATATGTCAGAGGTAGGACAATGAAATGGTAAAAATGGAAAACAAGATTCAGAAAGTAACACCTTCAAAATGAAAATCTATAATCCCTTAAAATGTTCTCCGGAAAGATATTCTCCCTTGCATTGAAATCACCTCGACAAATTAAGAGCTGAAAGGAATCTATATGTTACTAAGTCTTCCTAAAATATCTGTAAGGCATGGGGTGAAATGCATGCATGCACAGGCAGCGCCCTGCGGGGTCACCTTTAAGGTCAGCCTCACGGCGTTGCAGTTCTCCTGCAGCGGGTTCAGCTTCAGCGTCTCCCCGAGGTTGCTGCAGCCGGTCGACTGGTGCTGCAGCTCACAGCAGACACACACCTCCACACTGTCAAACTTAATCTAGACAGAGGAACACAGACAGACCTCACCGTTAACACGACAGTCGGCCCTGCGGGTACGCGCGAGTCACACAATTAAGAACACATGAAAATGGCTCAGTTCAAAGCACCCTGCTTCAGTTATCTTTAAGTAATGAAGCAAAAACAATTTCCATTGCCCCAGGCCATGAAGAACACCATCAGGAATTACTTCAAATTTCTATTTTGTAAGCAAGGAATAAAAAAAGAAAAAGTACATTTGAACGAACCTGAGCTATAAGTTACAGAAAACTGCAGAGGGATTAGAATGAGACAAAAGTCAATAAACTGAAGGTCACTCATATTGATTTACGCTGGAGACATGTCATAGCTCTGTGCCTCAGCCCATTCTCCTCCCGTGGTCAGAAATTTCCTGTCTCACTTCCTGGCCTAGGAAACTCCTGCTCATCCATCCAGACCCAACTCTAGCTCCATACTTGAGGCTTCGTCTGGTTTCCGGCACCCACTGCTACTGGAGCCTTATTTTATCTTCCAATCACAATGTTGATAAAGCCCATAAGTTGTAGGTGTTCAATAAATGCTGAATAAATAAAAACAGCTTGGAAAATTGAAAACCATGGAAAGAAAGAAATGCATTTCAAGTATTTAAAAAAGCAGCATTAGACAGAGAATGTGAGCATCTCAATGACAGGGGAGAGAACAGAGTTCCCAGTGCTTGAAGGGAAAGTGGATTTAAGAAAAATAAAAATCTTAGCGGTGCAGTGGTGTGCTGCCTGTAGTCCCAGCTACTTTGGAGGCTGAGGCAAGAGATTGCTAGAGCCCAGGAGTTTGAGACCAGCCTGGGCAACATAGTGAGACCCCACCTCTAAAAATAAATACATAAAACATAAGTAAGTCCTAGATATAAAATTACTAAAAAAGAAAATTTGTAAAATCTATATAATTTAATTCAAAATAACACCTAACATGAAACAAATTACTTTTCTTAGACAAGGAGGTACCCTACTTTTCAACAAAGAATAATTTCTTTTACACCAGCTATCTCAAATTTCAAATATTTTTCAGATAAATATTGACCATTTATGACTGTAACAAATGATTTTTCATTATACAAGGTATTGCCAAGGGTGATGCTATAAAACCTCTATGTATCAATGTCTGCCATTCCTGAATACGCAGAGCCAAGAAATGTGAAGGTGTTCATGCAAGGGGCTCAGCTTTGACTTTCCCAGGCTAGCTGGAGACTCAGCCCTTGCTGGGCCTTCCCCATGTCAGGTGGGCTTTGCGACTAGCTTCCACCAGCAGAATATGGGTACAAGAGACAGCTTGTTCTGAACTTAGACCTTACAGGATTCAAGCACCCTTTCCCCAGAGCTTCTGACCTTCAACAAGAGAAGAACAGGCCCCAGGGAGCTGCTAGCCCCCTAGCCTGGGCCCAGAAGGAGACCTACAGAGCACGCCTGCAGAACTGTTCTGCCCCATGGTACACGCACACACAACATTACTAGGTAAGGCCAGATTGTTTTGAAACAAATTATATTCCCACCAATGGGGTTTGAGAGTTCAAGCTGATCCACACCCTCACATTGCTTGGTAATGTTGGACTTACACATTTGTGTTGATGTGGTGAGTAATCAAAGAGTATCTAATTTGGGGGGATGGTCCTGTTGTTATCTTTGCCCATTTTCTTAACCATTCATATTGTGAAACATAACATACATACACAAAAAGTGCACAGAGCAAACATATTCAGTTCAACAATTTATCATTAAGTAAGCACCCACGGGACCATGGCCGGCCCCCTAGAAGGCCTTTCATACCCCACTCCCCATCTTTCCTACCCCTCACTGCACCAAAATCTCACCACATTCCTCACTTTTTTGGTAATCACTTCCAGGCTTCCACGTTTATACTTCTACTATTTACATTACATTTTAGTTTCACCTATTTTTCTAACTTGATATTAATGAAATCATATAATATTTTTAGAATTTGTCTTCTTTCATTCAAAATTACGAGATTCATCCATGTTACTGCATATAGGTATAGTTGATTCATGTTCATTGCTGTTAATATTATAACACATGAATACGCTGCCATTTATATATATTGGTTCTCTTGCTGATGGACATTTGGATTGTTGCCAGTTTCTGTCAATTAAGAGTAATGTTGCTATAACATTCTGGATTGTCTCTTGGTACATATGTACGCACATTTCTTTTGGGTATAAAATACCTATTAAATGGAGCTGCTGGGTTCCTGCGGATCTTCAACTTTAGTAGGGAATGCATAACCATTTTCTAAAGTGGTTGTACCAATTTACATACCCACCAGCATTGCACGAGGGTTCCCACTGCTCCACATCCTAGCTTATGCTTGGGAGTTTCAGTCTTTTTAACTTTAGTCAGGAAAGTACTCAAAGAGGCACTTCCCCAAAATGAGGGACTAAGCCAAGAAAAAAACAGAAGAAATGATCTAACACAGGAAAGAGAGGGAATTCTTAGGTAATGGGGAAAGGATGTCTTAGCATAGTAAACACACAGACTACCTATAGGTTGACTAGTCAAGATCGAAGCAGGAGACGGAGGTTCAGTGGAACTGTTTCTCGGAAGAAAATATAACTGACAGAACACCTGATGGGTAGGATCATATTCAGAGATTTTCAATTCTCTTGGGGAGTTTGAGGGTAAATTAGAAACAGAGACATGGGACACTAAACAAACAATAAAATAAAATGATTTTAACTTCAGAATAAAAGATGAATCATCCATAGTACATGGTTTTGTCGAATATGTGGCTTGCAAATATTTCTCACACTCCATAGTTTATCTTTTCATCCTCTTAACAGGGTCATGTGTAGAGCAAAAGTTTTAAATTTTGAGGCAAGTCCAACTTACAAATTTTTGCCCTTTTGGATGTTTTGGATGTTTATCTAAGAACTCTTTGCCTAGCCCTAGATCCTGAAGATTTTTCACTATATTTTTTCTAAAGGTTTTAGAATTTTATTTTTACGTTTAATTTTATGATCCATTTCCCGTAAATTTTTGTATAAGATATGCACTTAGTTTGAGGTTGATTTATTTTATTTTATTTTCCTATTGATGTCCAACTGCTCCAACATTTGTTTAAAAAGCCTATCTTTTCTCCATTGAATTGTTTTGATCTATGTCAAAAATCAGCTGACATATTTGTGTGGTTCTGTTTCTGTGTTCTCTCTTCTGTTCAATGGATCTGTGTCTCTATTGACCAAAAAATCTTGATTACTGTGATGATAAGCCTGGAAATTGAATGGACTGATTCCCCCCATTTTATTCTTCTTTTTCCAAATTATGTATTTGCCTTTCCATATATATTTTAGAATAAGATTGACTATGTCTACCAAAAACATCTTGCTGGGATTTTGATAGGAATTGCATCTAACCTGTATATTAATTTGGGGAGAATCAACATCTTTACTATGTTGAATCTTCTAATTCATGAACACAGTATGTCTCTCCATTTACTTAGATTTGATTTATTTCATCGTTGTTATGGAGTTTTCAGTGTACAAGTCCTGTGTTTTATTAGACTTACATCCATGTATTTTTTGGGTGATTATAATTGGTACTATATTTTTAATTTCACTATCCCTATGCTCATTGCTAATATAGAGAAATACAACTGAATTTTGTATGTTTATCTTGTATCCTACAACCTTACTGAACTCACTTATTAGTTCCAGGAGATTTGTTTTGTTTTGTTTTTAAGATTCCTTCAGATTTTCTACAAAGATACATATGTTATCCACAAATAGGCTTAGTTTTATTTCTTCCTTTCTGATTTATATGCCTTTTATTTTCTTTTCTTCCCTTACTATAAATACTTTGGCTTGACCTGCCAGCACTATAGTCTATGTTGAATAAGAGTGGTGAGAATGAGCATGCTTGCCTTGCTCCTAATCTTAGGGGAAAGCATTCAGTCCTTCACCATTAAGTATGTTAGCTGTAGGTTTTTCATAGATGATATTTTTCAAATCAAGGAAGTTCTCCATGCCTATTTTTCTGAGCTATCTTTTTCAAGTCATGAAAGGGTGTTCAATATTGTCAAATGCTTTTTATGCATCAATTGATATAACCATGTGATTTTTCTTCTTTAGCCTATTAGTATGGTAGATTAAAATGACTGATTTTTGAATATCAAACCTGTCAGTCTTGCATCCCTGAAATAAACTCCTCTTGGTAATGATGTGTAATTCTTTTTATAAATGTTGAGTTCCATTTGCTATTATTTTGTTAAAGATTTTTGCATCTATATTAATGAGATATATTGGTCTGTAGTTTTATTTTTTCTATACTATCTTTGTCTGGTTTTGGTAGCATGATAATACTATTTTCATAAAAATCAACTGGGAGGCTGGGAGGAGTGGCTCATGCCTGTAATCCTAGCACTCTACAAGGTGAGGTGGGGGGACTGCTTGAGGCCAGGAATTCGAGACCAACCTGAGCAAAAGTGAAACCTCGTCTCTACAAAAAATAAAAAAAATTAGCTGGGCATAGTGGCATGCGCCTGTAGTCCCAGCTACTTGGGAGGCTGAGGCAGGAGGATTGCTTCAGCCCAGGAATTTAGGTTGCAGTGAGCTATGATGACACCACTGCACTCTAGCCCAGGTGACAGAATGACATCTATCTCAAAAAAAAACAAAAAAAACAAAAAACACAAAAACCTGGGAAATGTTTGCCTCTTCTATCTTCTGAAAGAGAGTGTGTAGAAATTGTTAATTCTTTAAATGTTTGGTAGACCACCTGGGCCTGGAGATTTTGTTTTTGAAAGTTTTAAAATTATGAATTCAATTTCCTCAATAGTTATAGGGCTATTCAAATTATCTATTTCATGAATTATGACAATTTGTTTTTCAGGAAATCAATCCATTTAATTTAAGTTGTTAAATTTATTTGTGTAGAGCTGTTCATATTAGTCCCTTATTACCTTTTTGATGTCTGCAGGATGTGTAGTATATCCCTATTTCATTCCAGATATTGGCAA